CCATTGAGGACGCTGTTTAACTATAAATTGAGCTTAATTATTAGAAAGGTGAGGATATAAAGCTTTTAAAATTTTGTCTAGCTGATGAAGGAGTTGATGACTACATAAAAGAGTCATAACATTTACTTGTTTGGTTAGGTTATCTGTTTGTTGATTTAAGGAACCTAATGGCCCAGGCAGTCCAGTATTGGAGCATATATGAGTCAATAAAAAGAGTGCTCTCTCTGTCAAATTTTAGTTTTTAGAGATAAGAATAACATTCAAATATGTTCTCCTGGTTTATGTTGTAAAAATGCTGTTTCTAATTTTAAAAGTGCCTGGGTGGCATATTCAGAATTTGTATGAATATTTAAAGGTTGAGAAAGGAGCATGAAGCTCTGGAGAATATCATTGAGTTCTGAATATTGGCCAGAAGCAGGAACAGGCATTTCCCAAGAATGAGAAATGTTTTGTTTTGTTTGAAGCTGGTGTAAAATAGTAGCTATTTTTTCTTTGTTAGTTCCATTTGTAAACAAAACTTCTGCCCCTGTGAGAGTTCACTGTGATGTAATAGTTGGGGTATGGGGCGGGGTGGGTATTATCACATACCTATAGTCAGGAAACAGAGTGCTTCAAATTCCAAACAAGTTCAGAATACGGAACTATTCTCTTCTGAGTGTCCCATCTGTTTCCTGCAGGCAAAACCATATTTTTGAGTTAAATTATTTTGTTATGGGTAAGGGAAAACATTGAAAGTAAAATTTGTGTAATACAGAGAAATGCAAAAGAACATTCTAGTAGTTGTAGGTAACTTTAACACTTGTTTGCATCCACTTAATTCAAGACTTTGAATAGATGTGTAGCACAAGTCAGAGAAGTAGACTGAAAATTTTTATTCTTGTTGTAACAGTAATTATTATAAGAACAACAACCACCTTGTACTTCTATAAACTTACTCAGACCTTTAACAAACTTGCTTAAGCATTCTTATTATTCCTTCCAGTCTGGAAATATCCAGCCATCTTAATCTTACTAACTTTGACCTTCTAACTCTTTATCTTTTCTTAAACATTCTCATCATTTTCTGATATTCTGAGTCATAACATTTACAAACTCATGATTTGTTGTGAGAATCCATCAAATAACCAATGTTTAGTCCTCCATACCTTTAGATACAGGAACAACCATTTTAAACATATCAGTACAATATAAGCTTGGTAAACTCATGGACCTTGATGTATTTGTTTATTGGCTATAAAGAGACAATAGTGATAGAATAGGTAACATTTTTCCTGGAGTAGAAGAAATTATTATTTAAAATTAGTATATTTTTAAGCAATAAAAACCATAGTATAGAAAAAGAATTAAGTATTAAAGAGAAAACATTTTGACCTGGAAAAGTATTTTAAGTTAATTTAACAAGTTTAGTTTGTGTGGGGTTTTAATTTTTAAGTCAATTTGATACCAAGTGAATTATAGTTAAGGAATATAAGTTTATGTAGACCACGTACAAACAAAATGGACATCTTAAAATCTTTTGAAAATAAACTAGAACAAACAGGTACTTAGCAAGTAGTATTTTTACATAACCTGAGACCTAGAGACACTGTTTAATAGATTTCAAAATGATTAGGGTACCCATGTTTGAAAGGAGTTTGAATGTAAATTTGTACCTGTGTATTTTAATTAGGCATGCCAAAAATAAAACCAATAATTTTTTGCAAAATAAAAAGCATGAAAAAGGAAAAATTTGAAGAGGCCAAACTTTAAAATTGTGTTGACATAAATGATATATGAGGGCAATCATCATAGACGTATATGACATTCTTATGTGAGATCTCAATATATAGAAACATATAGCAACACATGCCATAATTTTAAACAACATAAAAATGATTGTCAGACATATATGACACAGTTACATGAAACTAGATGCACCTAAAATGTGTTACTTAAGTTTTATTATAATGAATTTTGTAAGATCTTCTGAAAGCAGGCATAGCTGGTGTCAAGAGGAAAGCAGAAGTTTGGCTTTAGAAGACAGTGCCACACACATTATTTTACTAGAAGAACATGGAATCTGAGTTAAACATAAATATAATGTAATTAGTTAACATAACCTGTGTTTTCATTGAATTGTAGGGTCCTAGTTGAACTTAATTAGCTAAAACTTGAAGGTTGGTGGTTTCTCAGAATACAGAAAACCTGGAAATGAACTTGTAGCAAGTAAAAAATCTTAAAACAACTTTTTTTCATGCAGGTAACAAACAGCTGAATGCAATAAAAAAACAGAGAGGAATAGAGTTGGAAGGGACAGGAAATACTAATTGTGTTAGTCAGGATTCTCCAAAGAAACAGAACCAGTAGAATGAATGAATGAATATATATATATATGGAGAGAGAGAGAGAGAGAGAGAGAGAGAGATTTATCAGCTTAGCTCACAGGATAGAGTCCACGTAGTCCAACAATGGCTGCACCACATTGGAGAGGCTGAGAATCCAGAGTCATTCAGCCCATAAGGCTGGATGTCTCAGTAGTCCCAATCTGGTGCTGAAGGTCTGACGAATTCCAAAGGATCAGCTAGTCCTCAGTCTGCAGGAGCAAGACGAACTCACCAGCAAGAGAGAAGGCAAGCATCAAAAAGCCTGGCATTCTCCTCTGTCTTGGCCTTTAATATGGGCTGCCATCAGAAGGTAACACCCACATTTAGGGTGTGTCTTCCACCTTCAGATGATCCAATCAAGGATATCTCACTCATTTTACTTAATCCCAGATACAGTCAAGCTGACACCCAGGATTACCCATCACAAGTCCACCCCTTGTCAACTTGACACCCAACAGCAACTCTCTCTATATCATGCTTAATTTTCAAATGAAAACAATGTTGAGGTCATAATTTCACCTAACATGATATAACTATCCCATCATACAATAACCAATACATTATATATCTTAGATTAGGTGATAAGGTCTTCGAGGAGTGCTTAGTCCTTTAGTGTCTCATAACCCAATATAATCATATAGGTTCACAACACTTAACCACTTAACACTTATGTCAATTACACATTCAAAAAAGAATAACTCAAGTATCTGCTTAACATATATGTATATATGCACAAGCCTATTAATAACCAAATAGGACAAAAATACTCATGTCAATTACAATCTACTTTTCTGGAACTGGTCATGTGGCCTAAGTTGGTATTTGTAACTACCTTCCTCTACTACACATTCTGTATTTCCTCCACCATCAACAAGCACCTGTGCAGGTCTTGCCTCTGTCCCTGGAGGAGTGACAGGTCTGGGCCATTTGTTGTTCTGTCTGGATGAGGTTGTTGCAGTTTCCCATTGACCTTAATCACAGGACATGGTAACACCAAAAGTCACCCTAAGGAATTTCCTGCCTTCCAGATATAATCTTCATGACCTCCATTGTGAAGAACCAGTCCAATTTCCCCCTGGTAGTCTGGGTCAATCACCCCTCCTAATACTGTTATTCCTTTCTTAGCCTGCTGACTTAAGGGCATCAGAAGCCCAAGTGTCCAGGGGGAAGTCTTAGCTTCCAGTTCAACAGAATGTTTGTTGTCTCTCCTGGCAGAATCACACCCTCCTCTGTAACCAAAACATCCAAACCAGTAGAGTGTAAAGTCGAAGGTACAGGAAGAAAAAATTTTCATAGTGGATCACCAGGAGTGATAGATAGTGAGTGGAATCATTCCCACTTCCACCCCTTGATTCCTGGACTCGTGAATCCTGGCTATAGGAGAAACTTTACCATATATTGGAGACTGATTCAAAGCATACACTGCCTTCTGGAGGACCCTGCCCCAGCCCTCCAGGCAATTGTCACCTAGTTGGCGCTGTAACTGTGTCTTTAAGAGACCATTCCATCATTCTATCAAGCCAGCTGATACAGGATGGTGGGGAACATGGTAAGACCAGTGGATTTCATGACCTTGAGCCCTCTGCCGTACTTCTTTGGCTGTGGAGTGAGTTCCCTGGTCAGAAGCGATGCTGTTTGGAATACCGTGATGATGGATAAGGCATTCTGTAAATCCCTGGATAGTAGTTTTGGAAGAAGCATTACATACAGGAAAGGCAAATCCATAACCAGAATAAGTGTCTGTTTCACCACTGCTGTCACGAAACCCTCTGTCCAATATCAACTTGGGGAGGAAAGGGTTTATTTAGCTTACATTTCCTGGGTCACACTTCATCCGGGAGCCCAAGGTAAGAACTCAGGGCAGGAATCTGGAGGCAGGATCTAGAGCACAGGCCATGGAGGAATGCTAGTAACTGGCTTGCTCTTCACAAGAGGTGAGTTAGGAGATTCAAATGGGTTTCTCTCCATAATTGTTTCAAATAGTCAACAACATGGATTTTCAGTGCTCTCCATGCTGTCTGAAGACTCTGACTCAGAGAGCCTGCTCCAAATACCAACAATCCCATTAAAGAAATTCATCCTTTAAATTCTGTTTCTCTAGAACCACTCCTAGTACCACAATCTGTATTAGTCAGGGTCCTCCAAAGAAACAGAACCAGTAGAATGAATATATATGTATAGAGATTTATCAGCTTAGCTTACAGGATAGAGTCCAAGTAGTCCAACAATGGCTTCACTACACTGGAGAGGCTGAGAATCCATACCTGTTCAGTCCACAAGTCTGGATGTCTCAGTAGTCCCAATCTGGTTCTGAAGGTCTGACAAATTTCAAAAGATCAGCTAGTCTTCAGTCTACAGCAGCAAGACAAACTCCCCAGCGAGAGAGAAGGCAAGCAGCAAGAATCCCAGCATTCTCCTCTGCCTTGGCCTTTTATATGGGCTGCCATCAGAAGTTAACACCCACATTTAGGGTGTGTCTTCCAGCTTCAGCTTGATCAGCTTCCAGCTTGATCCAATCCAGAAGACCTCTCTCATTTCAGTTAATCCCAGATCCAGTCAAGTTGACACCCAGGATTAGCCATCACACTAATGAAACCAGGAATCATTGTGACTAGG